AAGGCAAGCGCTCTACCACTGAGCCATCTTCCCAGCCCCTTACTTGGCTTTTTTAATTACAGCTGATACCCTGCCACTTGAACCACCTCCAGCCCAGCCTTTGCCCATTAATTTAACTCTCAACTCCATTGATCATTCCCTTCTGTTAACACATTTTGGCCTCTTCAGAGCCATATCATTGGAGTTTCAGTTTTTCCAAAACATCCTTGTCCTTTACTTATAAATGTACAATTTAAAGATAAGTATAGCTGGGCGCTGGTGGCTCACACCTGGAATCCTAGCTACTCAGGAGGCTGAGGATCGCAGTTCAAAGCCAGCCTGGGCAGGAAAGTCCATGAGACTCTTATGGTTCAAATCCATGAGACTTATGTGGTTCAAGTGGTAAAGTGTTAGCCTGAGCTGAAGAGCTGAGGGACAGCACCCAGGCCCAGAGTTTAAGCCCCACAGCTGACAAAAAAAAAAAAAAAAAAGCTAGAAGTGGTAGAGTGCTGACCTTGAGCAAAAGAAGCTCAAGGACAGTGCCGGGCCCTGAGTTCAAGCTCCAGGACTGGCAAAAAATAAATAATTTTATTCTCAGAGGAAAACATGATGATATTCTCTACCTCAACAGGCAAGACATTAAATAGGATCAATTAGCATTTAGAATACAAGGTGATAGGCAAAGGGAATACAAATATAAATAAGTTGGTGTCTAATAGGGATTTTATAACTAATTATTTAAATATCCTTTTAAGTATATTTATTTCTTTTGACAAATAATCATTCATGCATTTTAATAAAAATTGGAAGTGCCAGTGGCTCACAACTGTAATCTTAGCTACTCAGGAGGCTGAGATCTGAGGATCACAGTTTGAAACCAGCCTGTGCTGGAAAGTTCTTGAGACTGATCTCCAATAAAGTACTCAGGAAAAGCCAGAAGTGGTCAAGTTGTAGAGTGCTAATCTTGAGCAAAAGAAACTCAGGGACATGGGCTGAGAAGGTGGCTCAGTGGTAGAGCACTTGCCTTGCATGCTTGAGGCGCTGGGTTCCATTCCTCAGCACCACATAAGCAAAGAGAAAAAAGCTGGAAGTGGCGCTGTGGCTCAAGTAGTAGAGCGCTAGCCTTGAGCTGAAGAGCTGAGGGACAGCGCCCAGGCCCAGAGTTCAGGCCCCATGACCAGATCCCCCCCCAAAAAAAAAGAAAAGAAAAAGAAACTCAGGGATAGTGCCCAGGCCCTGAATTCAAGCTCCAGGACTGGCTAAATAAATTTAAAAAAAATATTGATGAATGTAGAAAAGTTGTAAGACCATTTTCTCCTCCTCCTTCTGCTCTTCCTCTTCTTCCTCTTCCCCCTTCTTCTTCCTCCTTCTCTTCCCTCTTCCTCCTCCTTCATTCCTTTCCCCTCCTCCCCCTCCTCCTCCTCTTCTTCCTTTTTTTTTTTTTGGTGTGTGCTGGTACTTGGGCTTCAATTTGGGGCCTGAACTCAGGTTCTCATGTTCTTACTCATCTTTCTTGCTCACAGCTCTCTGCCAGTTGAACTAGGCCTCCAGTCCAGCATTTTGCTAGTTAGTTGGAAATGGAGTCTCTTGGACTTTTGTTCATCATCTTTCACTTTGATAAATGTATTTATTTACCTTTTAGATTACTTTAGAACATATAAACACCAGACCACGGTGGTTCCTGGCTGTAATCCTAGCTAGTCAGAAAGCTAGTATCTCAAAATCTATTCAAAGCTGGGCAGAAAAAAAAACCCCAAAACTTCAAGACTTATCTCCAATAAAGGAGCAAAACACCAGGAGTGGAGGTGTGTCTCAAGTGGTTGAGCCCCAGCCTTGAGTAATAAAACTATTAAGAGTTCCAGAGACTGAATGCAAGCCATAGTACTGGCACACACACACACACACACACACACACACACACACACACACACGATGTAATTGTGTTGGAATTTGTAGTCTTTTCAAGCCACAGTACTGGCATACACACACACACACACACACACACACACACACACACACACGATGTAATTGTGTTGGAATTTGTAGTCTTTTCCAAGTTTTCTGTATCATACATTATGGTGCGTTTTGTTGTTGTCTTGTTTTTTCTTTTTTGCTTTAAAGCAGACATTATGTTAGCTTTGTTCTTAATTTTGAAAGCTGACTTTTAACTCCCTGCATACTTCCTATTAGTTACATGACTTGAGAAAGCTCTTTAGCTCTTTTCTTACCTAAAAAAGGTTATGATTTGTTGGATAAGATGCTACTGGTCTAAAATCCCAGAACTCCAGAAGCTAAGGCAAGAGCCTCTCAAGTTTGAGGCTAGCCTGGGACTACATAGTAACCATTTATTTTCTGAATAAGAAAAAAAAAACACAAAGTGGAAAAATAATTATGGTTTTGGAAGTATTTACTTCATAGAGTTGTTATTAGGTGAGAATTCAATGAGATAAAATAAGGAATCATCTGTTATGAAAACAAGTGTTTAACAAAAATAGAATTCAGAGGCATTTAAAAATCACATTTGCAGGAAATGGAGCTGTGGCTCAATGGTACAATGTCATGGCCCTGAGTTCAAGCCCCACTACCAGCACACAAAAAATAAAAAATTCCCCAATAAAAACCACATGTTCTGGGCTGGGAAGGTGGCTCAGTGGTAGAGTGCTTGCCTTGCATGCATGAGGCCCTGGGTTCGATTCCTCAGCACCACATAAGCAAAAAAGCTGGAAGTGGCGCTGTGGCTCAAGTGGTAGAGCGCTAGCCTTGAGCTGAAGAGCTGAGGGACAGTGACCACACCCAGAGTTCAGGCCCCATGACTGACCAAAAAAGAAAAAAAAAACCCACATGTTCTTTAACCACATTGCTTAAATTCAATACCAGAAAATTTATGCACTCATCTTGATTGGGATAAGATCAGTACAGAAGACCTTTCTTCCAGGGAACTCGGTCATTGAGAGCTTGTCTTCATACTAAATAAACTTCAGTTCCCTCGGATTACTGAAGCTGAGATGGCTGATGGATGTACAGCAAAATTTTAAGTGATGGACAATTCCAGGTAAGGAATTGCTTTAAAAAAAAAAAAAGTGGAAGTGAGGGGTTGTGAGAGTGAGAAGTGCTGCTGACTTTTTTTTTTTTTTTCTAGTAGGGATCTCCCCTGGTCTAAATTCCCCTGCTCCAACTATGCTTTCTTCTGGCAGCAGTACTGGGGCTTAAACAGCCTGCTAGGCAAGCACTTTTCTTGAAACACAAACATCAGCCCTTGTTAAACATTTTGTTTGGGTTCATATCCATTTGGGTCTCAAACCTGTCCCTTGGTTTGCCTACAAAACTCTCTTGCAGATTTTTTTTCTCCAGTACTGAGTTTTTAAACTCAAGACCCGGAACTTGCTAGACTAGCCTGGCACTCTATCACTTGAACCACACCACTGATTATGGTTTGTTTGGTTTGAGTTTGGGTTTTGTATGCCAGTACTGGGGTTTGAACTTAGGCCCTTACGCTCTTGCTTTTTTGCCCAAGGCTGGCCCTCTACCTCTTGAGTTACGCCAATACTTCCAGCTTTTTCTCTGGCTAATTGGATATAAGACTGGGACTTTTTAGCTCATCTGGCTTTGAACAGAGATCCTCACATCTCAACTTCTTGAGTAGGTAGAATTACAGGTGTGAGCCACTGGTGCCTGGCTGATGGTACTTTTTTTTTTTTTTTTTTGGTCGGTCATGGGGCTTAAACTCTGGGCCTGAGCACTGTCCCTCAGCAATTCAGCTCAAGGCCAGTGCTCTACCAGTTGAGCTACAGTTCCACTTCTGGTTTTCTGGTGGTTTATTAAGATAAGTGTTTCATGGACTTTCTTGCCCCGGCTGGCTTTGAACCGTGATCCTCAGATCTCAGCCTCCTGAGTAGCTAGGATTACTGGTGTGAGCCACTGGCGCCCTGCTTGATGGTGCTTTTTGAGACAGGGTTCTGACATCTGCTTCTGCTAGTCTTCAACTGTAATAATCTCTCAGCATCCCAAATCGCTGGGATTGTATGAATGCAATGTGAGCGATCCTGCCTGTCTGCCTTCCTTCCTTCCCTTTTTTTGTCGGTCGTGGGGCTTGAACTCAGGACCTGGAAGCTATCTCTGAGGTCTTTTGCTTAAGGTTAGTGCTCCACCACTTTGAGCCACAGCACCACTTCTGGTTTCCTGGTGTTAATTGGAGGTAAGAGTCTCATGGACTTTCCTGCCCAGGTTGGCTTTGAACAACAATCCTCCATTCTCAGCCTCCTAGCTACGATTACAGGCGTGACCCACCAATGCCTGGCTTACCTTGCTTTTAAAGTGTGTAGGATCCCTACTTAAATGTGGCATCACTGTCTTCCCCAGGGCCAGGTCTCTGATTGCTCAGAGTTCAGATGAGAACCTGCTTGGGGAAATACTAGAGTCTGAAAGGGCTTAGAAGCTGGGGCATTGCAAAAAATGAAAGGTAGCACACAGATCTCCAATCAGTGTACCTTTCAGTCAGTAAACATCCAGTAGTAGGACACTATGTGTTAGGTATATTATCTTACAGAGAGATTTTGGCTCCTCTTGTGCAGTACTTGCCACCTAGTTAGGAAACAGGAAGCACAACACAAAACGGTTAAATAAGCAGTAGAGATTAGAGCCACTGGTGTCAATACCGGAGGGCAGGAGGGTGGAAAGCTTCGCAGGAGATGATGCCAGGACTTGCAGTGGTCTGATTAAGGAACGACAGCATGCACACCCTGGATGCCAGATAAACAACGGTAGAAACAACTATTGCAAAGTAGCCAAGTCCTGGTATCTGAAGGCCTGAGTAAGGAATGCTGACGACTGGCTAGAAAAGATGAGCCAGTGTGGTAGCAGCGCAGACTGGAGGAGTGACACTGGAAGCCGAGAGAAGTGAAATGACATTCTAGACTAGATCCTGTGTTGGGGGAGGGGCCCGGGGGCCACGGGGACAAAGGGAAAAGCCGAAGGCCTCTGCAGCACGACAGGATGCCGGACTCACGACCGGTAGGTCTCAGTGTGGTTTGGGAGACCAAGTGGAATGTAGCGCGAGAAAGTCGGGAAAGGGACGCTCTCTCCTGGAATTCAGAACTTGAACTTCCGGCAACATCCCAACTACAGGTGCTTTTCTGGGTAGGGGACCAATTTCCGGAAATCTCCGCCCAGTTTCGAGCCTCGTCTTCCTAGTAGCTCGTTATTAGCCAGCAGTAGGGTCAAGATGGCGGCTCCCACTTAGCGCTGACTGGTCATGTGACCTCGGATTTTCCTAGGTTTACGCCCCGCAGGCCGTTCGGGCAAGGTTCACCTGTCATGCACGCTGTTAACCCTTCGAATTTCGCAAGCTAGTCGACCTGTAAGACTGGACTACAAGCGGTGAGGCGATGGGAAGATTGGCCCACTACAGTCCTATTCAGGGACCAATCACGGAGCGTCCTATATTTCGAGGGCCCGCCCGCAGGCGGGGAAGAAAAGAAAGTGTCGTCACAGCGTGGCCGTATTGTTACCTAAGGACTTAAAGGAGGTGGGACTAGTGTTGATTGACAGACAGATTTCCCCTACCGGGATTTGAGAATTTGGCGCAGTGCCCCGCCTTAGAGGTGGGGTCTTATCTGATTGCCAAGTAATATTCCCCAATGGAGTTGTAGCTTGGAGTGACGGGCAGGCTGCTTGACTAATGAATCCTCGGCGTGGCCGGCGCAGTTCTCCAATCGCCGGGCGGCGGGCCCCAGTCTGAGCGGCGATGGCGGCGGCGGCGGCGGCGGCAGCGGCAGCGGGGGCTGCGGGCGGTCGGGGCTCCGGGCCGGGGCGGCGGCGCCATCTTGTGCCCGGGGCCGGTGGGGAGGCCGGGGAGGGGGCCCCGGGGGGCGCAGGGGACTACGGGAACGGCCTGGAGTCTGAGGAACTGGAGCCTGGGGAGCTGCTGCTGGAGCCCGAGCCGGAGCCCGAGCCTGAAGAGGAGCCGCCCCGGCCCCGTGCCCCCCCGGGAGCTCCGGGCCCTGGGCCTGGCTCGGGAGCGCCTGGCAGCCAAGAGGAGGAGGAAGAGCCGGGACTGGTCGAGAGTGACCCCGGGGACGGCGCCATTGAGGACCCGGTGAGGGAAGGAGCGCGAGCGAGCAAGCCGGCGGGCCGGGTCACGGCAGGCCCCGAGCTGTGGCGAGCGGGAGGCAGGCTGGGGGTGGGGTTGGGCGGGGAATAACGTGGCTGGGGCCGGGCGGGGGCCGGGTCCTGGATCTCCACAAGAGCCTGCCTCCCTCGACGGATCGAGCGTCATGGGTGCCTAGGGTTGCTCGAGAGAGAAGGTAACTTGCTTTTCTTTTCATTAGGACCTCGCGTGGGGCGAGGGAAATGGCCGAGCCTGGCTGCGGTGGGCGCCGATTTGAGTGCACGGCAGTTCCGACGTTGGTGCCTCTTAAGCTCTTTTGCATGTCCTCTCCCCTCATTGTAGGAGCTGGAAGCGATCAAAGCTCGAGTCAGGGAGATGGAGGAAGAAGCTGAGAAGCTAAAGGAGCTACAGAACGAGGTAGAGAAGCAGATGAACATGAGCCCACCTCCAGGCAATGGTGAGTGAAACAGGCAGTGGCATACGCAGCCCTGGTCCCTGGGTTGGAAGGATGGTGGGGAGCGCGAAGAATGTAGCAATTAGATTCTAGGGACCTTGGGGCTGCTTGTTTGAGTGATTACTATGCAGGTGCTTTGGTCACAGTCCATTATGTGTTCCACTGACCTTTGTGAGACAGCAGCTATGTTTTGGTGGTGGTAATCTTGTTTCCCTTTGTCCCTTTTATAAATGTCTTTCTCTTTGTTCTTGCTCTGCCTTCTTGGGGATCTTGCCAGCTAGCATTTGACCTTCACGTCTACGTTTTTTTTTTTTTTTCCTCTTCTGTTTTCTTTTTAATCTTGTTGGACATTCTTTAATTTGGACTCCTAAGAGAAAGAAGTGTTGATGTAAGGGGCTGCTTTAATCTAGAAATGGAACCTTAGCCTATTTAATTTCGTTCTTTGCTCATTGAGGCATTACAGCTAAAGCTATTTAGTAGGAATTTGATTTACAGAGAGGAAGTTGCTCTATAGTTTCCTATTGTTTTTCTATGATGTATTAATTTTTCAGATATTTGGTGAGAACCTACTACGTGCTAGGCACTTTCATGGGTAATGGGCATAGAAACGAAGGGGACAGACTCAGGTCTGTTGACTGAGTTTATTAATAGCAGTAGTGATAGTGGATGTATATATATTGATCAAGTAGGATATATGCTTATTTGTAAAATTGTTACTTTTCTTTCAAAGCTGGCCCAGTGATCATGTCTATTGAAGAGAGGATGGAGGCTGATGCCCGCTCCATCTATGTTGGCAATGTATGTATTAAGGCTTTTACTTGGTTTAAGGGGACAGTCTTACTTTGGGGAGTTAATGATCTTGAATTTCTCCAGGGTAGGTGGCAATTTGGGTGTTGGGAGAGGCGGTAGGAGGTAAAAAGTAATGAAATGATCACAATGGGGTTGGAAGAAAAACACTTATTTAGAGAAGTGTTTTTGTCGTGGCCTTTGTATATATAGATGGCCCACACTAAAGGCTAGGCAGGGATTTGTTGAGAAATAGTTTTCCTAGTACCTGTGAAATACACTTTCTCCTTAGGTGGACTATGGTGCAACAGCAGAAGAGCTAGAAGCTCACTTTCATGGCTGTGGTTCAGTCAACCGGGTTACCATACTTTGTGACAAATTTAGTGGCCATCCCAAAGGGTAAGTAGGTAATTAAGATGAGGTGATTTTAATCACAGTTTAAAAATAGATAAAAATGATTTTTTGTTTTCTCCTGGTGTGCTGGAAATTGAACCCAAGTCCTGTGCATGTTAGGCATTGCTTTACCACAACTCACAGCAATAGTTTGTTTTATGTTGGGCTGTAATTATTATTAAAACAATCAGTCTTTGTCCACTAATATATGTTAGTGTTGCTGTGTATTGGGTTATACACAAATGCCTTCAGAGACCTGATAATAAAATTGAAGACTAGCTGTGGGTGGCCTAGTTTGTAATCTTCCAAGATTAGCTGGAAGTTTTGGTTAAGATTTTTCATATAAAAAATTAAATGGCTAAGAAAAAATTAAATGGCTAAAAAATGTGAATATGCATTCATTCTAGCAAAGCATGTGGGTAAATTGCGTTTAACCTGTGTGCTAAACTCAAACTGTCAGATAAATTAGCAGTTTCTCCTTTTAGGTTTGCATATATAGAGTTCTCAGACAAAGAGTCAGTGAGGACTTCCCTGGCCTTAGATGAGTCCCTTTTTAGAGGAAGACAAATCAAGGTAAGTCTGGAATTTGGCTATTCTGGCATTACCTGCACTCTCCATATTGACACTGAGGCTTTCTGTTGTATCTATCCCTTAATTTCAGGTGATTCCCAAACGGACCAACAGACCAGGCATCAGTACGACAGACCGGGGTTTCCCACGTGCCCGCTACCGTGCCAGGACCACAAACTACAACAGTTCCCGATCTCGATTCTACAGTGGTTTTAACAGCAGGCCCCGGGGTCGCGTCTACAGGTCAGGATAGATGGGCTGCTCCTCTCCCCCCGCCCCCCACTATCCCTGTATGCTTCATTTTCTCCTGATCTGAGAACCCTTCCACCCTTCCCCTCCCCTTGGTCTCCAGGGATTTGGTTTCCTGCCTGTGCAGGGTGAGGAAGGTAGCTGCAGGCCAGGTCAGGAGGCCAGTTTCATCCTTTTCTGGAGCAAAAATTGGTGATCAAGGCTAATGTGGTCTGAGAGGTGCTTTCTCCAGCTTTCAACCCCTCCATTCCCCCTCCTCCCCTTGGGAATTGCTGGCTGTGAAGATATTTATACAGAAAGTTAGTGAGAACTGGGCTTCAGAGCAATGAAAGCACTGCTGGGACTTTGCTACTTTTCTCAGAGTTAGGGAGGGATTGAGGTTGGAGCCTCCCTTGGAAGACTACCAGAGGCTGTGGAAGGATTTTAAGATATTTTAGTTGAGCCATTTTTTTGCAAGGTTAAGTTTATCACTGGGCCTACAGTGGTGTCTATGTTGCTTTTGTTTCTTTCTATTTAAGTAGATTAGGTTTATAAGCCTTGGCTTTTCATAAGATAGGTTTTAAGAGTGGTGGAAGAAAACTGGATTAACAATGGGCCTTTTTTCCTTGCTCCTCTATCTCAGATGTACTTTATTGCCACTGTTTGGCAAAGTACTGTCCCCCATTTCATGTCCAACTTCATCTACCCATACTCTATCCCCAACCTCATTTTTCAGATGTGTCACTATTTCTGAGATTGTGGAGTTTTAGGGTACTTGAAAACTGCCATTCATCCCTTCCCTGACAGTAACTGGGGCAAGGGCCCACGGGGAGGGTCTTGTGCTGAACTATCTAGTGATCATGTTAACACTTAACTCTCCTTCTTTCTTCCAGGGGCCGGGCTAGAGCGACATCATGGTATTGCCCTTACTAAAAAAAGTGTGTATTAGGAGGAGAGAGAGGAAAAAAAAGAGGAAAGAAGGAAAAAAAAAAAAGAATTAAAAAAAAAAAAGAAAAACAGAAGATGACCTTGATGGAAAAAAAAATATTTTTTAAAAAAAGATATACTGTTGGAAGGGGGGAGAATCCCGTAACTAACTGCTGAGGAGGGACCTGCTCTGGGAAGTAGGGGAAGGCCCAGGGGGTGGGGCAGGGGGCTGCTCATTCACTCTGGGGATTCGCCATGGACACGTCTCAACTGCGCAAACTGCTCCCCATGTTTCCCTGCCCCCTTTATTCCCTTGGGGGCTGCTCAAGGGTAGGTGGGCTTGGGTGGTAGGATGGTTTTTTTTTTACCCAGGGCTCTGGAAGGACATCAAACTGTTCCGCTTGTTACCTTCCCTCCATCTTCTCCCTGCCTTTCGCAGACCCCACCTGCCTGCTCCTGTCCTGCCAGGTCTACCACCCACCCCACCCCTCTCTCCGGCTCCCTGCCTCTCCAGATTGCCTGGTGATCTATTTTGTTTCCTTTTGTGTTTCTTTTTCTGTTTTGAGTGTCTTTCTTTGCAGGTTTCTGTAGCCGGAAGATCTCCGTTCCGCTCCCAGCGGCTCCAGTGTAAATTCCCCTTCCCCCTGGGGAAATGCACTACCTTGTTTTGGGGGGCTTTGGGGTGTTTTTGTTTTTCAGTTTTTTGTTTTATTTTGTTTTTTCCTTTGCCTTTCTTTCCCTTTTATTTGGAGGGAATGGGAGGAAGTGGGAACAGGGAGGTGGGAGATTGGATTTTGTTTATTATTTTTTTTTTTTTTAGCTCATTTCCAGGGGTGGGAATTTTTTTTAAAATGTGTAATGAATAAAGTTGTTTTGAAAATAAAAACTGTTCTGGCCTTTTGGGTGTAAGATTTATCTGACTGTTTTTCAGTTTGCACATACTGTTAATTCCCACCATAGGAGTAGGGTTTTGGTTGGGGAAGTTACCACTTGTAGATTAAGGAGTAAGAGTTAAATTGCAAGTAGCAAGAATGTTACCTGTTAGGATGGTGGTCTAGTTTCTGGAGTTTAGTAAAATAATAGCCAGATTAGAATGTACAATCGTGTGTTCCCTGTACAAGCTAATAAGCCATTTATACCTACCTTTTTTTGTTGTGTGTGGTGGTAGTGGTCAGTTGTGGGGCTTGAACTCAGAGTCTGGGTGCTGTCCCTGAGCTTTTCACTCAAGGCTAGTTATTATAGCCTTGTTATAGACTCCACTTCCAGTTTTCTGGTTGTTGGATGTGAGTCTTAGGGACATTCTCGCCTGGGCTGATTTGAACCACAATCCTCAGCTCTCATCCTCCTGAGTTGTTAGGATTATAGGTGTGATCCTATAAATGTGACACCCCACATTTTTAAGGCTTTACAATTGCCTTTTTTGGGGGGGTCAGTTGTGGGGCTTGAACTCTGGGCTTGGGCACTATCCCTGCGTTCTTCAGCTCAAGGCAAGGCTCTACCGCTTACGCCACAGCACCACTTCCGGTTTTCTAGTAGTTTATTGGAGATAAGAGTCTCACAGACTTTCCTGTCTGGGCTGGCTTTGAACCGAGATGCACAGATCTCAGCCTCCTGAATAGCTATGATTATAGGCATGAACAGCTCCATGAGACCCTTATCCCCAATAAACCAGTAAACCCAATAAACCCAGAAAACTGGAAGTGTCGCTGTAGCTTAAGTGGTAGAGTGCTAGCTTTGAGCTGAAGAGCTGAGGGACAGTGCCCAGGCCCAGGGTTCAAGCCCCACAACTGACAAAAAAGTCTCATGGACTTTCCTGCCCGGGCTGGCTTTGAACCACAATCCTCAAATATCAGCCTCCTGAGTAGCTAGGATTACAGGCCTGAGCCACTGGCACCTGGCTTAAGTTTTACAAGTGGTTAGGTTAGCCACTTTTACTTGATTTCCCTTAAATTCTAGTGTCATTGGTCTTAAAAGTCTTGGGTACTTTATCACGCCCCAGCACAAGTTATGGTTGATTTTTTTCATTACCTGTTGGGTTTCTTTCAACCTCATACTTTACCCATTTATTTACTTGTTCTCAGAGTATGATAGTAATCCTCCGCTCCCTGGCTTCATTACTCAGTATTGAACTTGGCCTTATGCTTGCTGAGCACGCCCTCTACCACTTGAATACTTTTTACCTTCTTCCCACTCCCACCCCAAACCTTTTTGCTTGAATTTGTTTTGGATAAGATCTTATGCTTTTTGCCCTAGGTTAGCCTTCATCAGTACTGGACTAGCTGGGATTGTTTTCTTTATGATTTCCTTTGAATGCATGACTGTAAGTGGGTTTGATAAGTGGCTTTGTTCTGTATCCATGAAGTCTTAACCTACTTCCCAAGTTAAATTGTACTCTGAATTTGCAGGTTAGTTTTAACTACCAACACATTTGATTGTTGTATTGTCTCCTATTGTATAGGTCTGTCTTTAGATCTCTGGAAATTCGTGCAGAAGCCAAGTAGCAAGAGGCTGGGTAAAGTGTTCACTGTTAACTATTAGAAGAATGTCAAACACATAAGTAGACTGATGTTAATGCTGGGTAGGTCTCATCCACTAGAGGGCATCAAATAGCTAGTTCTAAAACTAAATTGGTTCTTGGAAGGTAGATCTGTTTTGGGATTCTTTTCTGGCTTTGGTTTTCTGTGTTCAGTCAGTTCTTAAGTCCATTCTCTGTATTCCTACTTACACTGCTTGAGCAACTCTTCATTTGCTCTTACTACCAAAGGACCCTGTGCAAACGTCATGTTGGAATTACTAGGTGCAAATTAAGGACTACTTTTTTTTATGGTGTTTAAAGGTGATGCACAAAGGAGATCCAGTTACATAAGTCAGGTAAAGTACTTTTTTTGCGGGGGAGGGTCAGTTGTGGGGCTTGAACTCAGGGACTGGGCACTGTCCCTGAGCCTCTTTGTGCTCAAGACTAGCACTGTACCTATTGAACCACAGCACCACTTCCAGAAGTTTTGGAGTAGTTAATTGGAGATAAGAGACTTTTCTGCCCAGGCTGGCCTTGAACTACAGTCCTCAGATTTCAGTCTCTTTGAGTAGCTAGGATTACAGGCGTGAGCCACTGGTGCCCAGCTAAAGTACATTTCTTTCTGAACAGTATCACCCCTTACCTTGCTCTCCTAGTTTTTTCTTTCCCACCTACAAGTTGCATAGTTCATTTTCAACCTAGTGTCTACCATTGCTACATTTGTTCATACTTTGTCCATTTCTGTTTTTTTTTTTTTTGGGGGGGGGTCCGGTCTGGGCACTATCTCTCAGCTCTTCAGCTCAAGGCTAGCACTCTACCACCTGAGCCACAGTGCCACTTCCGGCTTTTTTTCTTTTTTCTTATGTGGTGCTGAGGAATTGAACCCAGGCATGCAAGGCAAGCGCTCTACCACTGAGCCACCTTCCCAGCCCCACTTTGTCCATTTCTGTGCTGCCCCTTACCCTCCCAAAGACAGATAAACAAGACAAAACAAAAACAGTAACAAAGAAAACAAATCTTATTTCCATTTCCTGAATGAATTTTTTTTTTTTTTTTTTTGTCGGTCGTGGGGCTTGAACTCTGGGCCTGGGCGCTGTCCCTCAGCTCTTCAGCTCAAGGCGAGTGCTCTACCACTTGAGCTACAGCGCCACTTCCTCCTGAATGAATTTTGATAAATATTCTGTGATCAGATGCACATAGACATTGCACTTTTGTGTTCCTTTCCTGAGAATATCCTCTGGTCTCACTGGTGAATCCCTAGAGTACTGTATAATTTATCATGTCCCAGTGTATTTTAGATCTAGATTCTATGTTTGTCTCTGAGCTTGGTTTACCTCATTTAGCATGATTCAGAGCCTGACTTTCCAGGCAGGTGCTCTACCACTTGAGCTGTGCCTCCAGACCCTTTTTGCTTTGGTCATTTTTTAGTTGCTTTAGCCCAGGGCTGGTCTAGGCTCTGATCTTCCTACTTGTGCCTTCCTGTGTCACTAGGGTGAGTAAAATGGAGTCTCATGAATGTTTATGCCCACGCTGGCTCCATCTCTACCTTCAATGTAGCTAAGATTATAGGCTTGAGCTATTGTGCCCAGCTTCAAAATCCCAGGGCCTGTGCATTGTCTCTGATTTTTTTGCTCAAGGTTAGTGTTTATCACTTTGAGCCACAGGGCCACTTTCGGTTTTCTGGTGGTTTACTGGAGATAAGAGTGGCTCAAAGGCAGCCTGAGCAGGAAAGATCATGAGATTCTTATCTCCAATATACCACCAGAAAACTGGAAGTGGCACTGTGGCTCAAGTGGTAGAGTGCTAGCCTTGAGCTAAAGAGTTCAGCATCCAGGCCCAGAGTTCAAGCCCCATGACTAACCCTCCCCCCGCCAAAAAGAATAATGAACATTGCACTATAGAATGTGCCACTGGTCTGTAATGTAAAGAACTAGAAAGGGTAGAAAAGAATGGCCAGAAGGCTTGGCTTAGAATCTTGGCTCTGCCACTTAATGGAAACCCCTTTTAATTTCTCAAATCTTCCATTTTCTGAGACCCTATATCAGGGGGCTGTGAAGATTATATGAGATAAGTCCTTACAAGTTCTCCAGAAATAATTATTGACAGCCACTGGGAGATATGGTTTATGTGATAAAGCACTAGCCATGAGTGAAAAGGCTGGTGAGAGCTCATTCATACTGGAGGTCAAGCTCTAGTGGCAGCACTAAATAAATAAAAATAAATGATAAATAAGGTCAGGTGCCTGTGGCACACACCTATAACCCTAGCTACTTAGGAGGCTGAGATCAGAGATCACAGTTTAAAGCCAGCCTGGGCAGACAAAACCATGAGATTTGATCTCCAGTTAACCGGCAACAGTGGAGGTGTGGCTCATATGGTAATGTCAACAGTGTGAGTAAAAACGGCAAGTGAGAACTCATGGCCCAGTTCCTCTTCTCCCAAGTCTTGCATCTTAACATCTCTCAACTCTGCTACTCATTAGCCCTAAGTTACTAGCTCTGAGTTCAGTTTTCTCAGCTGTAAGAACATAATACTGTAGGGGGATCCATTGTGTCTTTTTTTTTTTTTTTTTGGATCCGGTCGTAGGGCCTGAACTCTGGGCCTAGGCGTTGTACCTCAGCTCTTCAGCTCAAGGCTAGCGCTCTACCACTTGAGCCACAACACCACTTCCAGCTTTTTCCTTTTTGCTTATGTGGTGCTTAGGAATCAAACCCAGGGCCTCATGCATGCAAGGTAAGCGCTCTACCACTGAGCCACCTTCCCAGCCCTCCATTGTGTCTTAATATTCAGTCCCACTTCTAATTGCTGTTTTGCTTCCCCTCTTTCTAGGTATATAAAATAAAGGTGGAGTTGGGTGTTAGTAGCTCATGCCTATAATCCTAGCTTCTCAGGAGGCTGAGACCTGGAAGATCTTGGTTCAAAGCCAGTCTGGGCAGGAAAGGGTTCAAGACTGTTTCTAATTAACCAACAAAATGTCCAACAGGAAATATGGCTCAAATGGTAAACCACCAGCCATATCAAGAAAGTGGGACCAAAGGATAAGGTCCTACGTTCAAGCCCCCCCCCCCCCGTACCAGCACCAAAGAAAAATAAGGGTGAGAGTGGTGCGTTATGCATGCAGGACAGTCACATGCTTGTTAGAAATATATCTTCAATGGGGTTTCCCAAAGATTGGATGCCCACTGGACTTTATCCAACCCTGACAAGGATAGTCCTAGTTTCTGCCCACTGTACCAGGCAGGCCTCTCAGTTCCTGCCATTTCATGACTAAGGTCTGTTTCTAATTGTGAGTCTTACCATTAACATGCCCCACTGCACCTAATAAATTCCTGTTTTGTATAAGTACATTAAAGTCAATGTTTACAAATCCTATTTGATCTAAGCACTACCTTGC